TTTCAATCATACTGTGTTTATATACCAACCAGACAGAACACATCGTACCATAAAAATAGGAAATAACATTTATACAAGATTTGTTCAAATGTGGCTGTGAACGTGGAAGGTAGTGATTAATAGATAGGGCATAATTCAAGAATGGTAAATCGTATAATAAAATTTATAGGTTAAAATAACGCTCACAATAAGTGGAACAGGAATATACAAATAGTTCGGTTAATTAACAATTATAAGATGAAAATATTGATCCATGAATGGATCCGAAAAGTTACTATTCATGATGCTTATCAAGATCTAACAGAAATAAAGGAATAATCAAGTCGGATACAATTGATTAACATTTTGGAAATGATGTATTTACTGTATGATTGTTTCTTTAATATTCTATTCATATACATTCGATTGCCTCCTGCTTGTATCCTCATTCATTACACTACTGCTTTGATGTATACTTACCATCCATTATGTTTATCCAGATATAACAATATGTTTCATACTTTTATTGGCACTATTCAGTAAGTTATATATATCTGCTTTCAATAAATTTATCATGAAGCTATACAATTGTAAATGAAGATATAAAGATAGAAGTAAACAAACAAAGAGAATGGGATATTTACAAATACGAAATGAAATACTACTACTACTACTACTACTACTACTACTACTACTACTACTAATAATAATAATAATAATAATAATAATAATAATAGTAATAGATTGAGGTCAATATAACGGTAATAATCATAAGATGTACTTCTTTTGTACTCACAATTCTGGCTAGAGTTTATAGATGATATGAGCTTCTGATGTTTTAAAGAGTTCAATATGCAGATCTCTACGTAGATTTAAATGAATTGTATACATAACAATCAGTCTATGTATTGGTAGAATGATTAAAATTGATTAGATATTCAAGAATGGAATTTTTAAGTGTTTTCCTCTCACTCTTGTAGAACCACACTGGGATATGTTCTCCTATATGAGTTGAAAGTGACCTCTGGCTACGGCCTATTATTCATATTACATAATCTAGTATTATAATCTTTCGATCATATCATCAAATTTATTCCTTTTTCATATGTCCTCACAGAACTAGTCCTTTTATATATATATATACGATTATCTTAAACCGTAAGATTAAAATTACTTTATTATCTTTCTTTCTTGGAAGTAATTCTTTCTCCCTGTATTATAGTGTTATATACAATCCTTTTTGCTTATGCGTTAACACCACTGAAGTAACTGCTTCTATGAATTTACTGTTCATTTTGTTGTGCTAATAAAATATGGTTACTTGAACCGATGCATGCATACATATATATGCCTGGTTCTACTTTATATCTGACTGAATGATATACGATTTGTACAACTTGATAATAAATTTGTTAATAAAAGAGATTCCTTCACTGAATTTTATGTTTTTAATATGAATGACGTAAGAGATAAAATTCTCCCAATGGTAAAGATCATGAATCAGTTGAAACTAGACCGCGATCATGGAAAACCTGGAAGCACAGGACAGTCGTTTCGTCCCACTTGTGAGACTCCTCAGAAATGCACATCCACGACCTCGCCTACTGCGAGATTCAAATCCAGAACCTTTTGGTTTCACGTGTGAGCACTTAATCACTAAGATAACATTCTATCAAGATTAAGGACTAGACAAATGATATGGTATAGATCATTATTTATTTTAAGCATTACAATACACCTTTAAAAAATCTTTAAAATTAAACAAATGGTTCAATGTTTCACTTTATGAACTTTTATTATTATTTGAATAACATAGAATTTTATTATTATTGCTTAAAACTACCATGGAAAACCTGAAAGCACTGGACAGCTGTCTCGTCCTAGTGTAGAACTCCTCAAAGGTGTGCATCCATAATCTCGCTCCTACCCGCGCGGGGATTCGAACCCATGACCTATCGGTCTTGGACGCGAGCACTTAACCACTAGACCACCGAGCCGGCTATCTTCCAATGGTTTTAATGTCTAACCTCAACTCATCCATGAAGTTGAGTAACGCATCTACCATTGTCATTAGTGAGTTACTATCTCACAACAGACCTGGTGGTCTAGCTTCAACTGACTCATGATTTCAACTATTGAAATTACTATAATATCCACCAAAACACCCCTTCTGATATGAATGAACATTATATTATTGATAATATAAATTCGAAAATTTTCGTTCATGTTAACAATGATAATTAAATATCATCAGAAGGGGGTTTTTGTGGAGATTTTTAGTAATTAATTAATTGAATTCATGAGTCATTTAAAGCTAGACGATCATATAAGGCCTTTTCGTCCTAGTGTGAGACTCCTCAGCAGTGCTCATCCACAATCTCGCCTTGCAGGATTCGAAGCCTGAACTTAAGAGTCCTATACTAAAACGAAATGGCCGTAAAGTACTTCCATGTTTTCCAGAATAGTTTAGCATTAATTGACTCATAAACTCAATTATCAAATATTTAACAATGAAGTTGGAGTTCTACGTTTTATTGAATATCATATAATCATTGAATATTGGTTAAATACAGTATACATTATCAATTGATTTAGCTTATAAATTAAGGTTTTTGCTGCTGAATTGATAAAACCTGTTTAACTCTTTTTATACTCGTGGTAAACATTCAAACTTTACGTAGATATAAACATATTCAATTAAAGATCATGAATTTTCTAGTTGATACATGATTTGTGTTGAGGTGATCCACAAAACTTTTCGGAAAAGACAAGTAAAGCTTAGGAAAACACTAAGAAACATTTTCATTTAATCAGCGTTCAATTGAAGTTTTAGCCAGAAAATATCAAGAAAGTGAAACATCACATGTAGAGTTTCTGATTGGCTAATTACTATACTGTTATTATGTTTATTAGCATCTCAGAATCTTCGGTAAACCCAAAAGCATTTAAAATACTATAAAGAAAACCTATATTTTCTATGATAAAATGAACCTTTGGAGTAGTAAAGTACTTCTCGCATATTTTGCGCCTTTTCTCTCGTGTTCAGATTGCTGTGTAGTTCTACATTGGGGATTACGAGAATAGCTTAGGAACCGAATATAGTGTTCAATTAACAAGACTTATCAATTTGAGTCTATATTTATGCACAATTGATTGATCACTGGGAGGTGACCAATGTCATGAGTGTCTAGTCCTTATTATTAGTGCAGATCGAATGCTATCGACCATGTTGCAATATGGCCACCAGTCTAGGTGACTCGACACTGCGTGCACTGTTATGAAATTAAATGACGGTTGCAGGTAGTCGACAAGAAACCCTAACATTGATCCCCACTCAGTGATCAATCAATGGTGATCACATCTCAGTCCTACAGGAGGTCTGTCGCGGTGCGGATAGCTCAGTGGTAACGTGTCTGACTGTGAAGCTGGGTGACATGGAATCGAATCTATCAGGGAGCACTAGTTCCCTCAAGATTATAGGTACATCTTGCTGACGAGTGTCAAGTAGCACGAAACCCGGGTGTAGGGTTTCCTATCGACTACCTCCAACCACCATCTAATATATTTATAAGATTATTCTTTGAAAATTCAGATTTTAGGCTTTATGTTTATTTTTCGAACTAAAAGCAAAACAAAACTAGATTGTAAATCATCATCATTATAAAATGTAACAAGATTGTAACATGTACGCAATTGATATGGAAAGTTTTTCATCATTAAAATAGTTAATTTCTTGCATCATACACATCCTGTATTCATTAGATTATTCTATTATGTAATTATGATATGAATTTTTCAAATTGTAGTTGAGACTTTTATTACCTTATCAAAATATTTTCTATGAAATTTATAGTATACATAGAGATTTTTGATGAAGTTTTATACTCTAAGTTGAATGCTTTGATCGTGGAAATTTTCATTGTTCTTCTCACTACTCTAAACAACAATGCAAACATGTTTGGGATGCGATTCTCCTCGTCGATATGCAAAATGTTACTACACGATTGGGTTGCATCGTCACTTGAACTAATGATAGGGAGTGAAGTAGTTGAGCGTGTCGATCGCTTTACTTATCAGTCTTTGTGGTCTACTGTGACGAAATCTCAGCACGGATACAGAAGGTTCAACTAGCTTATGCTAACTTGCGTCATTTATGAGATAGGCGAGATATCCATCCATCAATCAAACGACTTGTTTACTGCGCATCGGTTCGTTTTATTCTATTTTATGGCAGTGAAACATGGCCAGTAAGAGTAGAGGATATTCGTAGGTTACTAGTATTCGATCATAGATGTCTTCGAAGCATTGCTCGTATATCCTGGGACAACCGAGTAAGTAATGTAGTTGTTAGGAAACGGGTACTAGGTAAGGACGGCAAATCAATCGATACAGTAGTGAAACTTCATCAGTTGAGATGGCTGAGACACGTTTTATGTGTTACTGCCACGGCGTGTGATGTTTCTTGGTGTAGGAGTAGGTTGGAAGAAAGCTAGGGGTGACCAGACCAAAACATTACACAAATCCATGAAGTCACTGACAAGTGGACTGAGTGAGGCATGTTGGTAGCTGTAGACTACCTGGTTGGGATCGGCGAGATGATAGCAACCAATGGTTAGACACCTTGAATGAGATGGCTTACAATCGTTTGCAATGGTGCAGGTGCACGCACCCTCTGTGTTCTCCCAAACTCTAATCATCTGAATTCTTCATGTCCCTTGTTTTTTGTCTTTGCAAATTTATTTCACTGGATTGTACTCCTTGAATAACATCTTCAAATCCTAATCTTTCCGATTACTGTTTATACTTGTAATACCTCTATCTACCACTATGGGATTAGGATCGACAACTGCATGTATTTTCCAATGTGCTATGGCAACTCGAACTGATGTATGTACGTTATTACTAACTAAATGACATTGTTCTTTTGAATGATCATCTAATTCAAACAGTAGAATATCAATGTTGTTTATTTTCTTTCTTTTATTTTTTTCTTTTCTCTTCTTTTCTTTATTCTTTCATAGATCATATCGTTGGCAATTATTTCGTGAAAAAATTTGGTCTGTTATAGATATATCACCAAGATTAATTCATTCACATTTTAATAATTATAGACATAGAAAACACTATACACCTAATGAATTATTCCCTAATGAATATAGTTCAACAAGTGATCAATCTAATCCAAATCATCCTCATCCTCATCTTGATCATCCTCATGAGGATGATGAGGATGATGAGGATGATAATAGTTTCAATTCTAATCATCAATCAAATAATCAAATCAATCAAAATAATTCTATCAATAATAAACAATCATTTGATTTATCGACTATTCAATCAATTAATTTATGTTGTTCTAATCAAATCAATAAATGTTCGAAATTATCAAATGATCATCATTTAATAACTAATCATGAATCAATATATTTAATATGGTTAAGACATTTTTATTTTATTTATGAAACATTAATTATTACATCAGCTGTTGGTGTATTTATGTTATCTACAGTAAAAGAATATCGTATACCATTTTATTTAAATATTACAGAATATATGGATTTTTATAATGATACAATATCAGATTATAATGATCATTTAGAAATAATCACTATGGCAACTAATTTAAATAATAATAATAATAATAATAATAGATCAAATATCAATTATTTTACATTACCATCTAAATGGCTTGTACAAATGGATATATTTTTTTCTATAGCTATTACAATTGATGTATTAATACGTATGATATTTTGTCCATGTTTTACAATATGGTTATTCTCATTATCAACATTAATTGATATTTTATCATTAATACCATTCTATTGTGAATTTATATTCTATGAATTAGTCTATAATTATAATACTACTAATAATACTACCTCTACTACTACTAATACTACTATTAATAATACTACTAATCATTCAGAATCTATATGGTGGTTAATTCGTATTCTTAGAGTAGAAGAATATTTTATTATATTAAAAGTATTTGTTGTATTAAGATTATTTCGTTTATTAAGACGACATCGTGGTACTCGTGTATTATTTTATACAATATGTACAACTATTACTGATTTATCTATATTAATTATATTAATATTAGTAAGTGCATTATTTTTTGGTGCTGCAATTTATTTTGTTGATCCAACATTTAATGATATTCCAAAAGGATTTTGGTGGGCATTAATCACTATGTCTACAGTTGGTTATGGGGATTTAGTACCAAATAATAAATGGGGTTATTTAGTTGCTATTGCATGTATTATATTAGGTACATTATTAGTATCTTATACAATACCTGTATTAGTTAATCATTTTTTATTATATTATGCTCATGCTGATCAATTATCTATGGTAAAACAATTGCATAGAACAGCTAAACGTAAAATACGTAATAGAAAAATGTCACGTTATTTACAAAAAGCATTATATAATGCTAAATCTATTGTGAATTCAACAATTACTAATGTCAATCATAAATAGATTCATCTTGTTTTTCCGCTCCCCCCCTTCTCTCTCTGTCTATCTATATCTACACATACACACATATACACCACCAACACCACCACCACAACCACCACCACCACCACCACCAAAAACACCACCACGAACAACAACATTTCATCGCTACTTTTTCAGTTTGTTTTTTTCTTTTTTTTAATTTTACACAATTATTGATCACCTTCTTGATATTTCCATTCTTTATACTCAATCACTTTCTATATATATATATATGAATACTGAAATATTTCAATAAACAAAGATTAAAAGTAGAAGGGAACAGTGTAAAACAAAAAGAAAGAAAGAAAGAAAATAGAACAATACATGATCCACTCATTAACACACAAACACACACACACATATGTATATTTCGCTTGGATACTAAGTCATGACTTTCGATTATTGTACATTATTTTTTGTTGTTCTTTTCGTTGTTGTTGTTGCTGTTGTTCGAATCAAATGATTTACTCTAATTAAAAATGATAATTATTTATTTATTTATTTATTAGAAAGGGTAGTGTGCAGAGTTGAGAAATTTCACTGGTTGAAATCATCATTTCCATTGAAGTTAGATCACTATGATGGAAAACTTGGAAGCATTGCTAAAAAGTCTCATACTGGAACAAAATGGTCATTCAATGCTTCCAGGTAATTCATATTAATGAATTAGCTTCAATGGATTAATGATTACAATCAATGAAATGATTTATTTTTAAATATTTACATCAATCAAAATCGATTAAATCGTTTCTCTTTTTTTTTCTTTTATAAATTAATTCAATTAAATTTTATTCAAAGTTCAATGATTCATTACTTTTTGATTAAACTTATAATTAGATACAGTCATAGTAACAAATGATTACCATTATTGATTATTATTTTTTAAAAAAAAGAAAAAAAAAAGAATTATTTTATAAATGATTTCTATTATAACTTACAAATGAATCTTGTTATTCAATGTATACTAATAATAAATATAATCAATATGATTGAGTATTCCTGTTTCTATTGTTGTTGTTGTTTTCTTTTCATTTAACATTTCATAAATGTTCACAATGGATTAATCACTGTGTGTTGATCAATATCATATGTGTCATATCCTACTTAGAGCAGATTGAATACTATTGACCAAGCTATAATGTGACCATTAGTTTAGGGGATTTGACATTGCGTGCACTATGTTGAGATAAGATGGTGATTGGAGGTAGTCAACAGAAAACCGTGAACCAAAGTTTTGTGCTATTTGGTACCCATGAGAAGTGATTCTCCCTGACTGATTCGATCCCGTAGACGTTACCATTGAGCAATCCGTGCCTCCACTGACCTCCTGTAGGACTGAGATATATTCAAAATGGATTAATTACTAGGTGGTGATCAATGTTATGTATATCAGGTTCTTTTTTGTGTAGATCGAACCCTATCGACCAAGTTGTAATATGGCCACTAGTCTAGTTGACTTGACATTTCTAAATGTTCTGACACATCGAACTCTTTATACAATACATCAATTGACGTTTCATCATTTCTGCATAGTTCTAATTGTGAGAATTCATCACCACTTTTTAATACTTCTTGACTGTTCAGCAACAATGATAAGATTGACTAATTTTTAAACATTTTTCTTAATGTTGGAATGCGAAATAGCACACCAGTTTCATACAAATGAATTATTGAATTTTGACAATCGATAAGAACAATTAGTAGATGTAGTATAGCACTCATTTAAGTAGCATCAGTATGAAATAGCTGTGCAACACATCCCAATTCTTAATGAATGTTTAGACAAAATTATTTCTTGATGTAAACTGCACAATGAATAACCTCCACATATCTTGTTTTGGCATAGATTGTATTCTCTAAATTATGCTGCATTGTAGTCTAGTTGTTCACATATTTACGCATGAGAAATTTTAATTGGCTATTGTTTTGAGGTACATGTTTTCCGTACTTTCCCCCGTTGTTTCTTGTGAGAAGATACAGTTCCACAGCCGATCACCTACCGTATAGCAAATTATTAGACAAAGATATGGATAGACCAATCAAACTTAAAATAACGAATCTTGGATTTATTTACGTAGCTAAGTAGGCTTTTACCATTACAGCCGGTGTCAGCTCATGATAACAAATATGGTTCTGGATCCTAAACGTAATTACAAGCTCTGACTTCTAATACAAACACTACACTCTAACTCATAATCCTGTCTTGACCTTAGTAAGTAGTTGATTTCACTCAAGGCCACTTTAGTATCTTCCAAAGGTGGCCCAAAGATTATAGTCTGATCAATTTTAACCACGCAATTAGGATAACTTGTCCACAAGGTCAAACAAATAATAACTGGACTCATATGTTACCATCAGCAAGTTATATTAAATAGCCTGGTATATTAAAAACATTAATAAGTTACGATTCAACTTCCCTGTATGTCAGACGTCATGACCAATAGCCATTTATATATCCTTATCGTTCACTTAGCTATCTTAGTGACTATATTTCGAATTTGATTGAATTTAATTAACTTCGTGTTAGTTCATACTATTCCAATATTAAAAAGATGCCAAATATTCAGCATTTTCCAAAATTTCTTCCCCTTCATCTATTGCTTAAAGAATGCGTATAACGGTGTGATTTTCATTGGTAATCTCACTGTAAACATCTAAATTTATCCTCATCTCTCTCTCCCCCCCTAAACAACTGAAACACATGAGACTAAAATCCCCAATGAAAATCACACTCCTGTTGTGTTACATAACCTTAAAATGAATGAAAAACTGTCTCTAAATGAAAAATGAATGAATAATATTACACTTATGATGTGTGGGCGAGGATGATCATGATTGGTTGTTTGCTTAGTTAGACAATGTAGATAGTCTGATAGGGGTGTCAGATAAGTTATATATTCCCCCCTATCCTTATAATAATTATTATTATATATTGTTGATTACTATTGGATTGTGTTGGGTTTTGTCGTGGAAATGTATTTACATTGTAGTTAGGCTAATCACATGTTCTTGATCATCTGAGAGTTGTGTTGAGGTGCTGTAGAATAGACACTAGGGGGGAGGAGGGAGAATGTAGTGTAGATAATCGTTTAAGGTAAATTCACATCCCATATGTGTAAACATGGATACTCAACTGTTATAACATTAGACAAAATGATCTCAATCATAACTTAACAAACTCAACAACCTCTGTACTGATAATCAACATGTGTGCTCACTAGTGACTAGATTCGTGAGGGAATTCTCGGAGTTCTAGTGAGAACACGTGACCAATGGAGCTAATCCGTGTCGGGTAGAGACAGGTATCTACCTCAGTACAATGAAAGACGGTTGTGCAACTTCGTGGATTGGTTGAGGCTAGACATTAACACACCATTAGATGCCGGTTGGCTCAGTGGTCCAGTAGGTTAAGCGTTCGATTTCGAGACTGAAGGCCCTGGGTTTGAATCTTGTGAGCGGGATCATGTATGCGCACTGCCACTGAGGAGTCCCACAATAAGACGAAACGGTTGTCCAGTGTTTCCAGGTTTTCCATAGTGGTCTAACATCAATCGGTTCATAATCTCAATCAAAACCTAACAATCTCCACAACATCTATACTGATAAAACCCGAGGGTTATTAAAACAACTTAAAATAACAAAGATGTTTTATAGAATAGTATTCAGTTGATATAATATAGTAAACCACATAATACAGAGATAATGACATAGTTTAATTATTAAAATGATAAATAAACAAAAAATTATGATAAAAGTAAATTCTACTTTGAAAAACATTAACAACTATAAACAAACAAGCAGACAAACAAACATACAAACAAGTAGACAGACAGACAAACAAACAAGTAGACAAACAAACATACAAACAAGTAGACAGACAGACAAACAAACAAACATTCAACAAATTGAAGTATGAATAACCAAATGGGATCCAGAGTATTCAATTGTTATTTTCATTGTCAAGTAATATTAAATTAATATTATCTGGATTCCATTGTTTATTATTATTTGTATTTGATTGATATAATTTATTACATAATTCATGAATCACTTGATATGCATAATCAATATGTTGTTTATTAGATGAATGATAACAGATAGCAAATCGTATAAAATAAATTGGTATCGGTGAATGTAATTCAGATGAAACTAAATGAATTCTACCATCTGATTCAATATCATGATATAATTGTTTAGTTAATTCATTATTATCCTTTGAAGACAAAAAAAATAAAGAAGAAAGAAAGAAATCATCATGAATAATAGAATATCAGAAAGGGGGTTTTATTTGGGGGTGGGGTGGGGTGGGGTGGGGGTGGGGATGTTATATAGTCATTTTAATAATTGAGATCATGAGTTCATTGAAGTTAGACTACCATGAAAAGTATACAAGAATTAGATGACCGTTTCGTTCTAATGTGGGACTGCACAGTAGTGCACATCCACAACCCCGACTCTCGAGATTCGAACATAATACCTATCAGTCTTGAGCGCGAACACTTGACCACTAGAACACTTAGTTGGCCGGTATCCAACGGTGTTAATGTCTTACCTTAACTAATCCAAGAAATCTAGCCACACATTCACCGTTGTCTTCAATGAGTTCCTATTTCATAACAGACCCGTTTGAACTTCGCTGGTCACTATTTATCACTAAAACTCCAAGAAATACTTCTTGAAGTCAGTTACTAGTAAGCATATACTGATTAATGTCGGAAAGGGGATTTTGTGAATATTACAGTAATTTCAATAATTGAGATCATGAGTCAATTAAAGCTAGATCACTATGAAAAACTGGAAGCACTGGACGGCCTCTTCGTTCAGCTTCTAATGTTAACCAATGTTAAATGAAATTTGCAGAATGTAAATAATATCAGTACGTTATAACATATCACATTGCGGTATCTGTATGATTAAACGTTAATATGTATCACTTTCTAATTCTCTATATTCAGTAAAATTTGATAAATCAACAGACAATTTTCTTGTGATGAGGCATTTTGTTCATTATTTATACTTGAAAGTATCTTTCCATAGTTTCAATATATCTCAGTTAGAAAACCTTGGTATTGCTGGACCTCTCTTAAAATGGCTTAAGGATTTCCTGATAGGTCGTAGACAGAAAGTTTTTTTAAATTTTAAGTACTCCATCTGGAGACCAGTACTTAGTGGAGTACCTCAAGATTCCGTCCTAGCTCGTTTACTTTTTATACTGTATGTAAATGATCTTCCAAGTAAAGTACAGTCTCCAATGTTATTATACGCTGACGATGTAAAGATCTGGTGAGTAATATCTAGAGACACACAAGCATGTGCTCTTCAGGCAGACTTAAATAATATGATTGACTGGTTTAGAGAGTGGCTGATGTCTATCAACACTGCCAAACGTGTCTCCATGCACTTCGGGGACACAAACATTAATAGGTGGAGCATAGGGGAAGTGCCAGTAACTATGGTCTGGTATCATAAGGATCTAGGGGTGAAAGTGAGTCATGCTCGTAAAACGACGGTCCATTGCCGGGAGGTCACAGCTAAGGGGTTTCGAATCCTTTAGGCTTTAAAACGGACATTCAATAACTTAAAAACTACCATGTTCACCACAGTATACGCAACCTTAGTGAGAACTAAGCTTGAGAACTGTGTTCAGGCTTCAAGCCCCTGTTTAAAAGGTAACTCGGATATACTAGAAAAAGTACAGAGGGCAGCTACCCGTGCAACTCCAGAACTCCAGGGTTTACCATACAAAGAGCAGCTTGAAAAGCTGGACCTCTTTACTCTGTTCTATCGTAGATTAAAGGGAGATCTAGTTTTGATGTACAGAATACTGAGAAATGATTTTGGACCTAACTTACTCTCTCTTTTTGTTCCCACTAGATCGAGACATCTCAGAGGACATAACAGGCGAGTACAAAAGTCAAGAATGAACAAAATAGCAGTGGCATACAGGTTTTCACACCTAGTCATCAATACTTGGAACGTGTTGCCCGAAGCAGTAGTGTCCGCACCTTCAATCGACTCTTTCAAGAGAAGACTGGACACTCAGAGAAGCATATTAGAAAAAGAATAACATAGGATGTAGACCTTCTGTCTTTACTATACACATTTGAATCTGAATCTGAATCAGAAATCTAATTCCTAACCTTTAACTATCAACAGGAAACCTTCATTCTAGTTTTTCATCATGGTCATATTTCTGATCTTTTATAAGATCAAGTGAGTATCAATAAAGTTGTGATTCTCTAGCAACTTGTAGAAAATTGAACTTATTCAATTTTGATCAACGTCTTCTGTTTAACGTAGGGTCCTACGACGATCGACATGGATGAGTTGGATATATATATATATATATATATATATATATATATATATATATATATATATAGAGAGAGAGAGAGAGAGAGAGAGAGAGAGAGAGATTGTTCAACAATGTCTTTACCTGTTCTATATATAATATTTTAAAAAAGAGAAAAAAAAGAAAGAAAAAAAAAGAGTTCCATTACATTTCATTATACAACTATCTTAATCAACTAACCTTAATCCGAAAACAAACTAAACCCATTAAAACATTGGCAACTAATTCAAAACGATTATCATCTTTGATAAGTTTTTCAAAATAATGAGCTAATTGAATATGCTAAAAAAGAAAAAAAAAAGAAAAGGAAAAAAATTAAAAGAAAAATAAAAAGAGAAAAAAGAAAATAAAGAAAAAGAAAACAAAGAAAAACAGAAAAAATTAATCTTTATTAGTTTATTTTATTAGAACTTACATTTCGAATGTATAATTGTAGATTATTCACACCGTATCTTCTTAAAGTGAACCATAATTTTAATGATCTAAATTTTCTACCTAATGGAATTTGCATATGCTAAAGAAAAATAAATTAATAAAATTGATTTTAATCAATAAATATATCTATATTACAATAATATAATAATATCATGAATTCATGATCTCAATCAAAAAAAAACTGATAATCAATATGTGTGCTCACTAGTGACTAGATTTGTGAGGGAATTCTCGGAGTTCTAGTGAGAACACGTGACCAATGGAGCTAATCCGTGTCGGGTAGAGACATATATCTACCTCAGTACAATGAAAGATGGTTGTGGAACTTCGTGGATTGGTTGAGGTTAGACGTAAACACACCATTGGATGCCGATTGGCTCACTGGTCCAGTAGGTTAAATGTTCGATTTCGAGTCTGAAGGCCCTGGGTTTGAATCGTGTGAGCGGGATCATGTATGCGCACTGCCACTGAGGAGTCCCACAATAAGACGAAACGGTTGTCCAGTGTTTCCAGGTTTTTCATAGTGGTATAACATCAATCGGTTCATGATCTCAATCAAAAAAATTTATTAATCTCCACAACCCCAATACTGATATAACATTTCTATTATATCAGAATATAAATACAATATAATTTAATCAATATTTTAATTGTTGCTAAGGGATAATATCTCTTTTCCTTGATATTAAACATTTTAATGATTAGTAACATTATTAGTATAGATTGATTGTAGACAATGTTGAAATCTAATTTCATGTTAACTTACATCAATAGTATAGGAAGAGATTATGATTCTGTTATAATGTTTAATGTATATCTTATAATGTAATGATATCATCATTTGAGAGAATAGTGATTTATCGATTGGATCAATGATGCATTAAAACAAATATGAGTAGTTTAAAGTATTTATCGGTGTTTTGTTTGTTGCTTAGCCATAGCTGTTAAGTTCAGAACATCTATGCTAGCCTCAGTGATATGAATCATTATTATTCAAACATACCTGGGATTATATACCAATCAAACAGACTAAAACGTACCAATAAAATAGAAAAGAACATTTATGCAAGAATTAATTAAAATGTAGTTGTGAATATGGTAGGTAGTAATTGATAGACTCGGTATAATTCAACAATAGTAAGTTGTATTATAATAGTTTAACAGGTCAATATATAAAGCTTATAATAAGAGAAATATGAATATGTAGATAGTTTATTTACTATGAAAATATATGTATCGTATTGGTTCATAAATGGATCGTAGCAGTTAGCATTCCTTAATCCCATTGAAATATAACAGAATCCAACCTTATTAAATATTGAAACTGATCTACTTCAAGTGTAGTTAGAATAGTAAATTGTCTTGAAAAAGAAAACAATTTGATCTATTCATTTGATATTGTTTTACTTGAATCTTCCCATTGATGTTTAGGACTGTAATTGATCAGTCTAAATGGATAACGCGATGGCATTTGAAGCGAACGGTACTGGGTTCGAGTTCCCAGAGTGAATATCAACTCTCAGATGAAGGTACATCCAGCTGACGAGTCCCAAATAGGACGAAACGTGCATCAAACTGGATTCCACTGCTAGCCACTATCCATCTTTGCTTGTAAGTTGATCTATATTCTATTGAATTGATTTATATGGAAATCATGCTTGATTCAATTGAAAAATTCATTTATAAACAGATGTTTCGTTCTAGTATAAAACTCTTCATTAACAGTGTACATCCACAACTGATAATCTCAATTATTGAAATTTCTAAAAATCTCTACAAAACTTTTTCTGATAATCATCAATATATGCTCACTAGTAACTGAGTTCAAGAGGTATATCCTAGAGTTCTAGTGAGAAGTAGTAGTGACCAGTGGAGTTCAACCAGGTCTGTTGTGAGATAGGAACTCACTAATGACAATGGTGGATGTTTCGCTCAATTTCGTGGATTAGTTGGAGATAGACATTAACACCATTGGATACCGGCTGGCTCAGAGGTCTAGTGGTTAACTGCTCGTTCGCGAAACCAGTAGGTCCTGGGTTTGGATCTCGCAGGGGGCGAGGTCGTATATACGCATTGCTGAACAGTCCGACAAAAGGATGAAAATGGTCATCCAGTGCTTCCTGGTTTTCCATGGTCGCGGTCTAGCTTCAACTGACTCATGATCTTAACCATTGAAACTTAATAACATTTTATCATTTTCAAAAAAGGCAGTAAAATCATAAAAAGATTCTCATCAATTGACGAATTGATTGGAATTCTTCACTGTGCCCCAATTACTTTTCATGTCAATCCTTATTTCACATTACAATATATATATATGATGGTATCATGAAATACTTACTCGAAAATCTATAGTAGTTTGTTGATGTTTATGCTTTAAATAGGGTGGATCAACATGAAATGAATTTTTTACCCAATTCACTTCACGATACCTAAAGAAATAAACATGTAAAATAAGTAGTAAAACAATCTGAGATCATTCCATATGATAATTAGCTAAATGAAAAGTGATTAACATGGAAAATGATAATGATAGGTGTATGCTTAGCGTAAATATTTACTACAGAAAATAACAGAGTAGCTGAAATAATACATTGAAAATTAGTTATACTGTAGTGTGTGCTACTTATAACTCCGCCTGGAGTCCCTCCGGCGGCTACTACCGGTCTCAAGTTCGGATAAAGGAGGAGGGTTGGGCATAAGGTTAGCAACCTCATTCGGTAGAAAACTAAATCGTTAAGAAAACGCTAACCGGAAAAATTATTCAAACCATTTAAACTTTTCCCTGGGAGTCATAAGGTATTCATTTAAAAGAGTTATGATACCTCATGATGAAAGCTAAATTCTCTCGGAAATCACGTGGCCGATGCCTCTTCTGACAATCAGAGCAACCATTTATTTAGGTATATAGAATGCTCGTACAATTTTGGAGACTTGGTGAGTCTTCCAAATTGTTGAAAATTCTTACTGTGTCCTACTTAAATCAATATAAGTAGTATAAAATGTTAATCAGAAACAGAATGTCTGCTATCAGTGAGAATGGAAACAGAATGAAAATTGGTATGAAAATACAAAAATAATAAAATTTGAATCATTTTGAGATAATTGATGAAGAATTTTCAAATTCAACATTTACTATATGATTGTTAGATGTTATTAACAAATTCTGTCTATTTGTTGTCAAGTCCATTTGTTTATTCCTTACTCATGTATTCTTGTTCATAACAATAAAATTAAAAGGTGATCGAACATAAGATGTGATCAAAAATCGTTTAACAACAACGATTAGAAGAACATTTAATGCAGCTAAACTGCGAATAACCTTCACTAGTCGGAACTTATTTACTGTATCCATAAAAGATAAGCTTCCGCGTCTGGTCGCCTCTATGTGCATCTATCAGTTTACCTGCTCTTGTGGAGCAAGTGATGTGATTACATAATATTGATTAAAATGAGTGGGGTTTCCAAAAATGAGTGGGGTTTCCATAAATCTGTTGATCAATACAAGAATAAACTGATATTAAATTCAAGTTAGTAACTATTGGATACAATTTTCTTTTCCATATAGAAACATAAAACCATTAATGATTTATTTCATTTAGATATTTGGATTGATAAAAGAAACTTTCCATTATATAAACTTTTGAAATAGAGATTATTTTATTGTCCTGGATTAGAATCTCGCGAGGTGAAGTTGTAGATAAACACTGTTGAGAAGTTATACAATAGGACGAAATGGCCATTCAGTGATTGCAGGTTTTCTATGGTGATACTCTAGCTTCAATGAACTCGTAATCTCAACTATTGAAATTAATATTAATAAACAATCTGTATCATGTTCTATTATACAGGTTAATTTTCAAATTTGAATTATGTTGTGGAGCCCGTTGAGTTCGTCGTCGGCGACGGGCTCACCAGTTTTTCTGTGGACTTTTGTCTTGTTGTCATTTCGATCGGACGATGTTGTCGTAAGGGCTTAACATAATAACAGACACTACAATGTGTTATGACGGTTTATAGTAAATACACATTTATTGATCATGAATGAAATATCAAATTAGTTACTATGTACTTTTTAATAGAAAAAGAAAAAAACTTACCATACAATTGAACAATCGAAATTAATTAGTAACCATTTATGTGGATTGAATACAAATGACATTGCATACTAAAAGTAGACAATGAAAATGATGTATGGAAACATGTTGAAAAGAAAATATAAAGAATCTTAAAGTAATGATATAAGCAAAGAAGACTGGTTTACTCTTTTTAGCTTTATGAGTGATCTACAGTGTAAGCCTATGGTCGTTCAACATAGTAGATAATCACCCATTCAAGCTTATATAAAGTTTCATTGAAATAATCACAATTAGCAAATTCGAACCCATAATGTTCGAGAATAAAATACATTTAAGTGGTTGGTATGATGAGAATGCTGGTTGGCGGCCTATGCTCCATTAACAGTAACAGCCATAAATAAATAAGTAAGTCATAAGACCAATGTTCTTCAGTAACCTTTCATAAAAGATTTATAAATCTAGTTTTAAACAGTGGTGTTCTGGTTAAGCGCTCGTGCGCTAGACTAATAGATTTTGGGTTCGAATCTCGTGGGGAGAGGGATGGTGGATACCCACCGCTGAGGAGTCCCATACTAGGACGAAACGGCCATCCAGTGCTTCCAGGTTTTCCATGGTGGTGATCTAGCTTCAATTGACTCATGATTTCAACTATTGAAATTAATAAAAATCTCAACAAAACTTCTTCTGATAACTTCAATATTGTCCAAAGTTTGTTTTATTTCTATTATTAAAATTTACATTAAACAAAATGTCCATGAAAACAAAAACAACCGATTAACACTTACTTCAATTCCATCCATTAAATATCTATATTCTGGACAAATAAATGATGAACCAGCATATGCTGCATCTACATGTAACCAAATATTGTATTTATCACAAATAGGTCCAATATCTTTTAATTTATCAAATCCACAAGTTGCTGTAGTACCCAATGTAGCACAACACTTAAATAAACAGAAATAACATAATATGATTAATAAAATTATATTTAAAGTCTTTGAAACATTGAATAAGATGCATTGAACTTAATGATCAACTATTATTGATACATAAAAGTCAAATTGAATCAAAGAATATTCATTTAATTGAATACATGAATATTGGTACAACGGGGGGGGGGTACCAGATACATATACACTACACAATAACAATAAGAATGGGAAGAGAAAGAAAAGAAGGTAAGGTGCGTATAAGAGAGGAGAGAAGAGAAGAATAATAACGACCACAGATTACTGTATGGTAGTGTAATAATAATAATAATAGTAATTGGGAGAAACCGAAAAGTACAGCCAGAAAGGACTTTTTTAGTTAAGGAAGAAGCAACCACTTTTTATGAAGAAAGTAAAAGAAGGTCTGGCTTTTCTATCGCATACGCAACAACAAACGCAGGAGAAGACAACCAGTGTAGCAGCAGCCTCAGCAGCAATAGTTCTCAATATACACAAAGGGAAAAGGAAGATTCTTCGATACAACACAGCATGCACCAATCCAATCACAATTGACGGAAAAGCTTTGGAAGATGTAAAAACCTTTACATATTTGGGCAGTATCATCGATGAACACGGTGGATCTGATGCAGATGTGAAGGCACGGATTGGCAAAGCAAGAGCAGCATATTTACAACTGAAGAACATCTAGAACTCAAAACAATTGTCTATCAACCAACGTCAAAGTCAGAATTTTCAATACAAATGTTAAGACAGTTCTACTGTATGGGGCGGAAACTTGGAGAACTACAAAAGCCATCATCCAGAAGATACAACTGTTTATTAACAGTTGTCTACGCAAAATACTTCAGATCCGTTGGCCGGACAGTATTAGCAACAACCTATTATGAGAGAGAACAAATCAGATCCCAGTGGAGGAAGAAATCAGGAAGAAGCGCTAGAAGTGGATAGGACAGACATTGAAGAAAGCACCGAACTCTGTCACAAGGCAAGAGCTCACATGGAATCCTCAAGGTCGAAAGAGGAGAGGAAGATCAAAGAACACATTACACCGAGAAATGGAGATAGATATGAGAAAAATGAACAAGAACTGGATGGAACTAGAAAAGAAGGCCTAGGACAGAATGGGTTGGAGAATGCTGGTCGGCAGCCTATGCTCCATTGGGAGTAACAGGCGTAAGTAAGTAAGTAAGTATGAACAATATTCAACTGCTAATTTAAGTTTTTATTTCTTTTCTAAAAAATTCTTAAGCTTCTAAGATGAATTTTAGTCACAGCTAAGTCTAACAGTAACAGACCTATTTCATTTTATAGTACAGAAAGTGTCTATTTTGCAAATAATTGGTAAGGTAAAACTCAACTATAGAGTCTATTCATTCTAAAACATTATAATAAGTAGTATCAAAATGAAATGCGCATTAAGTATTCTAACAATTAGATATTTCAATGGTTGAAATCATGAATCAATTGAAGCTAGATCACCACCATGGAAAAACTGGAAGCACTGAACGGCCATTTCGTTCTAGTGTGAGACTCCTCAACAGTGACTGACTTCAAGCGGTATTTCATAGAGTTCTAGTGAGAAGCCGTTTCCAGTGAAGTGCAACCAGGTCTGTTATGAGATATCAACTCACTGAAGACAATGGTGTACGGTGGCGCAATTTCGTGGATTGGTTGAAGTTAGACATTAATAACATTGGATACCGGCTGGCTCAGTGGTCTAGTGGTTAACTGCTCGCTCGCGAAACCAGTATGTCCTGGGCTCGAATGTCGCAGGGGGCGAGGTCGTGGATGCGCACTGCTGAGGATTCACACAGTAGGACGAAACGGCCATCCACTGCCTCCAGGTTTTCCATGGTCGCAGTCTACCTTCAACTATCTCATGATATCAGCCATTGAAATTACTACAATCTCCACAAAATCCCTTCTGAGAATACATGAAATGTCTGGTGAAACCGATTAGACTATATATTGCCTAATGTCAGTAACAAGAAATTCTAGTAGATATTATCATAGATTAATGAATTATTCATCTCATTGAAGTTACTCATTACCCCCCCCCCCACGCTCATACACATATATATAGTTCTGTCAGTTGAATATTCTGTAAATAAACACCGATTGTAAACATTGTTACATCCCTTTTGATAAGTAAACTATTCACTAGTTGATTTGTTTAAATATCTTTTTTTTTCAATGACTTTAATCTGATGTTTAGTTAGATAGATGAACCTTGTAAAATATGTAAATTTCAGAGATTAAATTCCCTTTCCTTTCCTCTTTTCTTTCTCTCTTTTTTTTCTCTTTTTTTTTTTTTTCTCTTTTTTTGACAAAGAAAAGAAAAAAAAATGAAAGAGAATCTTTAGAATATATTAGTCATTTAAGATAAAAAGAAGAAACAAGAAAACGAATAATAAAGGAATATATATGGAAGATTAGATCATTAATCAAACATTTCATTGTATCATTATCAGAAAGGGAATGGGTTTGTAGAGATTTTACTGATTTCACTTGTTGAGATGATAAGTCAATTGATGTTAACCTATCACACTGTTGAGGAATCCTACAATAGGATGAAACAGTCATCCACTGCCTCCAGGTTTTTCATGGTGGTAGTCTAGCTTCAATTAACTCATGATTTCAACTATTGAAATTTTAGATTGTACACACTAGTGACTGACTTCAAGAGGTATATCCTGGAGTTCTGATGAGAAGCAGTAACCAGTGGAGTTCAACCAGGTCAGTCGTGAGATAATAACTCACTGATGACAATGGTGGATATGTTGCTCAATTTCGTAGATTAGTTGGAGATAGACATTAACACCATTGAATGTCGGCTCAGTGGTCTAGTTGGTTAAGCGCCTTACGCAAGACTGATAGGTGCTGGGTTCGAATCCCGCGGGGTGCGGGATCGTGCATGCGCACTGCTGAGGAGTCCCATACTAGGACGAAACGGCCGTCCAGTGCTTCCAGGTTTCCCATGGTGGTCTAGCTTCAATTGATTCATGATTTCAACTATTGAAATTTACATATAGGATATTAAAAGAAATGATATCAAACAGGGTCGAATCCATTCTTTTCTAATACCATACTGAAATATCTTATTACTAGACTGTTTGGTAAATGATCTCAGTTGAAATTTTTACCGTTTAGCTTAACGATCAACTTACATGAGTGAATGAATACTGTTATGATTAAATAGAAAGGTAAATTACATTTTCAATTAATTGTGAGTGTTTTACTTATTCACAATTATGTCCATCCATGGTCATTACTCTAAGTATTAATGATATTGTTTTTGTTTTTTTCAGAATAACATTGATTTATTTCAGTGTAAGGTTTATTCACAATGATATTTCTTACATTAGTTCAGTGTAATGTTCGTTCAGTTACAATTATATAATATACCCTTATGGGTCAGGATAATTTTACATTGGTTTTCAGGACAACCAGACATCATCCAGACATTCATGTCACAACCCAAACAGTACAGCTCAATCCAGCTTCACAGGAGAACTAGACATCGTATAGGCTTGCACGCTACCATCTGAATAGTACAGCTCAATCCTGTGGCGCAACCACACAGATATCAAGCACCCTGATGGACCATTCGCACCATTCATATACACATTCACATAACATGTATAGTTATTCCGATCAATGATCGCGTAAATCAATTGTAGACAGTACAAACAGGCCAAAATTGACCTATTCCGCTTACACAACAGTCAAACTCATTAATATTAGCAATGACGACATGCCTTACAACGTCCCAAGGACAATGACCCTTGAGGACACTGAAAAGCAACCACCAGTATGAATGGAATCGGTTAACCAGCAAACCAATTTTGTGTATGAACAGTCAGCAAAACTTGCTGAAGCAATGCCGAACCATCCACAATACAAATGGTGAACCTGCAGCCTCATATGAGATCTTCAGCTCTACACAGCCATACAGCTAATACTGCATACAACACATATGTAGGGTAGTAAGCGAAATAGCCCAGCCTGAAGCGTTAGGGATTCAATAACGCTTAAAACCCATTGTCTGGTGTCGGAATGTTATAACTAGACCACCAAGATTATTTTTATCGTATTTGTGATGTTTTCATTTTTCCGACTTTTCAGACTCTGAGTTAGGGGTAGTATCTTTGTAATGTTCGTAGCCTAGGTTTTTGTAATAATGCTGTGTATTTCCTCAATGTGTGATAATTGTTAAGTAATCAAATGTGAGTATGATCAATATATAAGTGAATGTATTTATGTATCATTTATGGTTTATCTCTGAGGTCGGATAAATCTTCTATTTATTTATTTATTTGAACACATAAATATTGGTACAAGAGGGCACAAAATATATATGCGCTACCCAGATCTCAATTGATTTGTGTGAGGGCTGTGATACTGCCCGGGTGCCCAAACCGAAGCAGGTGGCTTTCTTAGGGAGCCACACCCGGAGCCTTCGACCCGGAGATCTGATCCACAAGGCATTGGAGCATCGTGAGGAGATGCAGTCCCATGGTAGCCGGTGACCAACGATTGGTTTATACGCCATTTGTTCTCGTAGGATACTGGAACCCATGTGCATCATTGATTTGGGATCCGGTTATAGCGCCAGATATTCGCTTTTCGTCCTCTCATTTTCATAAACAGCACCCTCACCACGAGAAGGCAGTGAGGCTGTATACGCGTGGCTATATGAGGGCATTTCGAGATGGAGGACGGGCCCAACCCACTCTCGGCCATATCAGGGCATTTGGGGGCCGAATAAATCTATATCACAAGTTTTCGTGTTTATACTACCCGTCTTTGGATATTAAACAGAAACTAATTCAATATTCTACAAACATAAGAAGTACCATGAAATAGCCCAGAGAAATCAGCATCGAGATACCAGACCATGGTTTACTTGAAAGTAGAAAAGAATCTGATTTAGTTTTTTTTAACAGGATTTCTGAACCCTCAGGATATTTCCAGTAAATGTGAAAACTCTTTAACTTTAATCTCAATTTAAATTCAGTCTATGTAACTGCACTTAATGAATTTTATACTTTCTATCCGATCGTATGATCAATGGAACTGTCATAGGTGGATGTCTGTATGGAACAACAACATAACAAAATCATCTACAATAAGTGAAAATCAACATTGTTGATAACAATGCAATACAAGAAAAGAAGAGAAATCACATAATGAATACGGTAAGTAATTAACACATTGATGATTATATAAAAACAGTTAGTGATAAGATCAAAAATATAGCTTAAGAAGAATAAATAAATTGGTTGGCCCGGAGACTAGAATAACCTATATATGCCAGTAGTGTTGTTGTGATCGATAATCATGGGGTCATGGATTCACAAATCAGGATAGAACGTTCAAGGTCATGTTTGTGTTAAAAACAATTTAACAATCAATCAATCAATAATAATAATAATGATAATTGTACAATTATGAGGGTTAAATGATGGTAGATAATTGACAATAAACGAATAAATTTCAATTATCCTTTATTATTATCAGAAGGGGTTTTGTGGAGATTGTAGTGATTTCATTCATTAAGATCATGAGTCAGTTGAAGCTAGACCACCATGGAAAACCTGGAAGCACTGGACGGCCGTTTCATCCTATTGTGGGACTCCTCAGCAGTGCGCATCCACGACCTCGCCCATTGCGAGATTCGAACCCAGGACCTACTGGTCTCGCGCGCGAGCACTTAACCACTAGACCACTGAGCCGGCATCCAACGGTGTTCATGTCTAACTTCAACTAATCCACGAAATTGAGCGACACATCCACCATTGTCTTCAGTGAGTTTCTATCCCACAACAGACCTTGTTGAACTCCACTGGTCACTACTTCTCACTAGAACTCTTTTATTAATTATACAAGAAAGTCAACAATTGGAACTTCAACACACACACACACACACACACACACACACAAAAACACCTTCATAAATAAAAACAACTGAACTTACAAAAAATGGTACTAATCCATTGTTTATATCATTTTGAATGGTTTGTTCTAGTATAGTTGTATCCATTTCATAATATTCATTTGATTTTATTGCACGTAATTGAAGCATTCCTATTAAACCAGCTCGTTCAACTGAACTATGTGCCTAAAAATTTTACAAATAAACTTTGATAAGACTCTAATTTATGAACGAGTCAATCAGAAGTATTTTAGAGATTTTAAAGTTACGGCGCCAAATTCAATGTTTAATGCTAATGTACGATCAGTTTACAAGGAATTTTGTACAAAATGTGATAAATGAAAGGCTATACGAAATAAAACGGTGAGACTATAATTTGTGGACGAATTAATCAGACCTCGGATTTTAACGCGAAAGTTTTTTTGGCATTATAGCTGATATCAGTTCGTGATGAAAACCCTATATATAATTCCTAACTAAGGGAAATTATGATAATTATTACGAATTGGATAATGAAATCACCAGTAACACTGGCTACAGCCAGGTACTATAATATATACAGATGATTGGAGAGTGTACAGCCTACTAAATATGCTTGGTTATCTGCATCATGTCGTTATCCACAAGTAACATTTTGTGTACTCAACAACCGGAGTACACATAAACAATATTGAAACAATATGATCGAGGCTGTAAGAGTTTTTGCGACGTTATCATGGCTCCAGATACCGACTATTCTGTAGCCATATGGATGATTTCCTCTACTGCATGATTTACGATTTTAGAACCTCTTGACAAATTTTTCAACCATGCCAAAGAAGTGTATCCATTTTAATTCTTTGATGTTGTATAATATACTTTTATTTTATCTTGTCTTCTAATTGGTTAATAATTCTTACGGTCACTTAAGGTTCGTTCGACGGTCGTCCATAAATTATAGTCTCGCCGATTACTAAAAGATACAGTCAGTCAGAAAATGCTTATAAAGTTTCATTATTGAACATGACGTAACGATATATGATTACAGGAATTTGATATTACATTGGAATCATGAAATTTCGGTATAGTTTGCTCATCAATAATTAAAGGACCTATTCTTACTTTACAAATAAACATGCTTATCGAAGATTCTTGATAATCTGGAAGCAAACAATCATCAGATGAAAGGTCATGGAAATTGTTAAGATTTTGATTGAGATCATGAACCGATCGATGTTAGATCACTATTGAAAACCTGGAAGTACTGGACGGTCGTTTCATCCTATTGTGGGACTCCTTAGCAGTGCGTATCCGCGATGCCGCTCACGGGATTCGAACCGAGGGCCTTCAGTCTCGCGCGTGAACGCTTAATAATCAATTATTATTATGATGATGAAAATATCACTAATTCAATATTGAAGAAAATTGTTAAAGAAAACAAATAACATCTTACCTGATCAGAATAATAACCAACAAGTTTAGATAAAGCATCATAACTATTTACATTCGGATGGATATTTTGATATTGTCTAATAGCTTTATTACGTGCAGCCAATAAAGCGACTAATGTGGATTCACTGCAGCTACCCTACGTATGAATTTATAATGAAAAACAAACATTTATTATTTATAACAAAAGAAAAACGACAGTTACACTGACTTAGATTTCATTTGCTTTATGTACAATAACCGAGTTTTATTCAATAATTTGTAAACGGTGTATAATCCAGTTGAAAGAATACATCATCATCATCATCATCATCATCCAAAGCATCATCATCATCATCATCATCATCCAAAGCATCATCATCATCATCATCATCCAAATCATCATCATCATCATCATCCAAATCATCATCATCATCATCCAAATCATCATCATCATCATCCAAAGCATCATCATCATCATCATCATCCAAATCATCATCATCATCATCATCATCATCATCATCATCATCATCATCATCATCATCATCATCATCATCATCATCATCATCATCATCATCATCATCATCATCATCATCATCATCCAAAGCATCATCATCATCATCATCATCCAAATCATCATCATCATCATCATCCAAATCATCATCATCATCATCCAAATCATCATCATCATCATCCAAAGCATCATCATCATCATCATCATCCAAATCATCATCATCATCATCATCATCATCATCATCATCATCATCATCATCATCATCATCATCATCATCATCATCATCATCATCATCATCATCATCATCATCATCATCATCATCATCATCATCATCATCATCATCATCATCATCATCATCATCATCATCATCATCATCATCATCATCATCATCATCATCATCATCATCATCATCATCATCATCATCATCATCATCATCATCATCATCATCATCAATGATACTATATCCAGAATAATAATCTATTTTCACTCATTTTACCATTATGCTCATCACTGTTTAACAGGATATTTTAGTTGTAAATAGATGAAATTTATTCAATATAAATGAAATTCTTCTTTTTCCAACTGTTTCAAAGATGACAATCATCTTTGAATTAAATAGATATTTATTAATATCAGAAAGAGGTTTATGTGGATATTATAGCTATTTGATAATTGAGATTATGAGTCAATAGAAGCTAGACCACTAATAGAAAACCTGAAATACTATAATATCCACAATAATGCCTTTTTGACAATAATCAGTATATGCTCACTAGTGACTGGCTTCAAGAAGCATTTGCTGGAGTTTTAGTGGGAAGTAGTGACCAGTGGAGTTTAGCTAGGTCTGCTGTGAGATAGTAACTCACTGATCACAATGGTGGATGTGTCGCTCAATTTCGTGGATTAGTTGAAGTTAGACATTACCATCGTTGGAGGTTAAGCGTTCGCGCGCGAGAATGATAGGTCCCAGGTTCGAGTCCAGCGGGCGAAATCGTAGATGCTCACTACTGAAGAGTTCCACATTAAGACGAAACGACCAATCAGTCCTTCCACATTTTTCATGGTTGTCTAGCTTCAATGGACTCATGATATCAACTATTGAAAGATACTTTTTCATTCGTATTACATGTAAATGTTGAATATTTCCGTCTTTTGAGTTTTTTTCGATGATACATCCCCTCAAAATCAGTTTCATTTTCAACTGTCTATGTGTATACAAATAAAGAATGGATAGTATCATTATACTAATATCTGATTTTTATTTTTTAAAGGAAACAATCCCATAGGAAACAATATTCCTAAAGAATAAAGTCAACCAGAAACAATTTGAACCTCAACATTGATACCTAGAAACTAATAATTATCTTTAACCTTTCAATAGTTGATAAGTTATAAATAGATTCAAAAGAATTTTATGCATAAATAAGATTTATAATGAAAAACGAATTGAAAAGAGATTTCTCCCCTCAATTCGTTCTTTCTTTATTGACCAAAAATGATTATATCACTTAATGTGTGTTTAATTTTATCCTATACTTATCAATCAGATGATCTGGCTCTTCTATCGCATACGCAACAACAAATGCAGGAGAAGACAACCAGTGTAGAAGCAGCCTCAGCAGCAATAGGTCTCAATATACACAAAGGGAAAAGCAAGATTCTTCGATACAACACAGCATGTACCAATCCAATCACAATTGACGGAGAAGCTTTGGAAGATGTAAAAACCTTTACATATTTGGGCAGTATCATCGATGAACACGGTGGATCTGATGCAGATGGCAAACCAAGAGCAGCATATTTACAACTGAAGAATATCTAGAACTCAAAACAATTAGCAACCAACACAAAAGTCAGAATTTTCAATACAAATGTCAAGACAGTTCTACTGTATGGGGTGGAAACCTGGAAAACTACGAAATCCATCGTCCAAAAGATACAGGTGTTTATTAACAGTTGTCTACGCAAAATACTTCAGATCCGTTGGCCGGACACTATAAGCAACAACCTACTATGGGAGAGAAAAAACCAGATTCTAGAGGGGCAAGAAATCAGGAATAATCACTGGAAGTGGATAGGACACACATTGAGGAAAGCACCGAGCTGCGTCACAAGACAAGCCCTCATATGGAATCCTCAAGGTCGAAGGAGGAGAGGAAGACCAAAGAACACATTACGCCGGGAAGTGGAGATAGATATGAGAAAAATGAACAAGAGTTGGATGAAACTAGAAAAGAAGGCCGAGGACAGAGTAGGTTGGAGAATGCTGGTCGGCGGCCTATGCTCCATTGGGAGTAACAGGCGTAAGTAAGTAAGTAAGTAATACTTATCAATAGTAAGGTTGTAGTAAGGTTGTAGTAAGGTTACAAGAATCTGAAGAAGCGACGAAATATTAACAGATTAGAAGAAAGAGAATTTTTATAGTTAAAGTACAAATTTAATTGATTAATTTATTATCGTACTTATTTTGTTGATAAGTGTTGGTGGAAGTTAGATCTCCAGAACTCACTTGGAAAACGACCTAAGTTTGTAGTTTTATTCAGAAAACTTGAATTTCCTTGTTTTTGTGCCAAAAGCGCTCTTGTCATCTTCATGTGGTATTTAACACTTGGGAAATATCTTAAACGCTATTGGTCCGTTGCATCTTTTAGTATGCTATTTTGTAACTCTCCCCAACGACGGTTTCATGCTGTATATATACGTTTTGATTTGTGTTTGTTGTTATCGCTCGTGCTTCTGGCAGTTTCCCGAATGTATTTCCAGAATATGCTTCCCTATTCTAAGCTTGGACTTCTTTCTCTAGTTAGCGGGGCTGGGACGCATCAAATGGCTGGCTTATTGGTTTTTGGTCACTGAGTCTTTGTTCCGTTCTCAGTCTAAGTTGACTGATAACCGCTTCAAATCTAGCAATAAGATTAACCTTAAATCATATAAAGCCTATAAGACAGTAATCTTATGTTAAATCAAACGATCTGTTGCTAAGATCATTCAATGATTCTACGGTGAAAGTAACTGAAATTCTGATTCAAGAAATATAATTGATCTTCAAAGTTGGGTTTTATACGATAACACAATATCAAGGTTTCCTTTGAAATCAATCCAACTGTAGTTAAGGGAATTATCAAATCAAACTTTCGTAATGGCTGAGTATACTGAGCTATTAAACTTGAATTTTCATTACAGTAAACTCAAATTATATTCTATGAAACTGGCAAATGATGGGATAGCTCAAATAATAATAATATTAATTAAGTTAATTTGTTAAAGCGGTGTATTAGCTTAAGTACTTGACTTTGATGAATAAGAATAGAGATTATATAATTCAGATAGATATTTTACATATTTCTTACTTGTATCACTCCACCGCTATTTTCACCAAATAAGAAATGTTCAGGTAGACCTAAGATTTTCGCTATCCAATCAATCATTACAACTTCCAGTTCTGTGCAAGCTGGATTTGAAACCTTCAATATAAAAAAAACACAGTTTAGTTAGTACTTTTAGGTGGAATTTCAAGAATATCAGTTGATGGTAAGTCTAAATCATTACGTATTTACTTACTTACGCCTGTTACTCCTTGTGAAAGAGCATAAGGCTCTCATCAGTATTCTTCATCCAACTGTGTCACAAGCAATCCTTTCCATCTCTTTCCAGTTCTTATTCATCATTTTCATATCCACTTCTTTGGCCTTCCTATTTTCTGCTTTCCTTCAGGATTCCAAGTTAGTGCTTGCATCGTGGTGCAGTTTGATGATTTCCTCAATGTATGTCCTATCCATTTTCATCGTCTTTTCCTGATTTCCTCTTCAGCTGGAAGCTGATTTGTTCTCTCCCACAGTAGACTGTTGCTGATGGTATCCGACCAACGGATGTTGAGTATCTTGCGTAGACAGCTATTTATAAATACTTGTACCTTCTTGATGATGGTTATAGTATTTCTCCATGTTTCAGCTCCTTACAGTAGAACTGACTGTCTTGACGTCCGTATTGAAGATTCTGACTTTGATGTTGGTTGAAAGTTGTTTTGAGTTCCATATGTTCTTTAATTGAAGGAATGCACATAGGTTCATTAAAACTATTGTCAAAAGATCTCCCTTCTTATTCATCAAGTAATTCTCTTTTTTAATTATTATTATTATTATTATTATTATTATTATTATTATTATTATTATTATTAATATTTCTAAAATAATTGGTTTACGCAAAATACTTTGGATCAATCGACCGGACACGATCAAAAACAACCTACTATGGGAGAGAACAAATCAGATCCCAGTGAAGGAAAAAATCAGGAAGAAACAGTGGAAGTGAATAGGATACACATTGAGGTAATCAACCAACTACGTTACAAGGCATGCCCTCACATGGAATCTTCAAGGCCAAATAAAGGAGAAGGGAAAGACCAAAGAACACATTCCACCGAAAAATGATACTGATGATAGCCGTAATTCGTGGTTTATACAAGATCTTAATAGCTGGATTTGAAATAACAATTTAATTCGTTGAAATGTTTCCATATAAAACACAACTAATTGCAAATTATGTGTTAACTCATCAGTCAGATATTCATGCTGATATACGTACCTATGAAATCTGTCACAATATTTTACGCTCAGGTCTCCATTGTATCCTGAAATAACAAAATCTATTGGATTTAAACAAAAGGATTCACATCAAAGTAGAGTTGTGAAGATTGTTGAGTTTCATTGAGATCATGAACCGATCAATGTTAGCCCAACATTGAAAACCTAAAAGCACTAGACGGTTGGCTCAGTGACCTAAAGGTTAATCGTTCATGTATGAAACCGAAGATGCCTGGGTTATGGTCCTATGTGGGGATGGTGGATGACGGTATGCAGAAAAAAAGGACAACTATTCATAGTCATATGACTTCTACTAAAGTGTAAGATTATAATGTATACAGTAATATATTTTATTCAAGCAGTTCAATAATGTTGATTCTTATGAAAACAGATAAATTTCAATTTGGGTAAAAGAATTTCTTTTTCTTTTGAACATACCCAAGTAAATCCAATGGATGAAATACCATCAGCGAGTATATCAGCACATATTGAAGTGTATGAACAACCACATGGAAAATAAGCATGAAAATGTGGATGTTGCCAATGAGTCACCTAAAATATAAAAGTTAACAGTCATCTATGTTAGTCAGCATAAAAGAAGTAGTAACGAGAGGTGAGTTTAATAAATCTATAATACTGATAGAATTCCATTGATGATGATGATGATGATGTAGTATAATCATAAGTGTAAGTAAGTCAATATCACATTTAATAAGTTTTGAAATGAGTTGATTATAGGCAAACGACAAGAAACTCTTCTGAATCTAAGTTTCTTGATAGATGTGAATAAGAATAGCTGAAATATAAGGTATATCTGACTATAACACTGGATAGTGCCAATTGAAATAACAAGTGAGGTAATGGTTAATTTCTAATTATCTTTCATTATATCATATTCACGTTGATGATGAGTTCCTTGAAGATGAATTAGATCTTCAAATTTGATCTTTTATTATGTAACATTCATCTTTCTTGAATTTGATGAAAATATTACTGAAATAATGAAGATTATTTTATTCTTAAATGGAAATTTCACTTGGTATTGTTGTTACTGGAATCTTCCCATTGATGATTAGGACTACAATTGGTCAATCTGTTATTGGCATATATGTATACTGTGCGTATTGCCTTGATATTGCTTTAATTCACCAGCATTATAAGCAAAGATAGATAGTGGCTAGTAGTGAAATCCAGTTTAACGAGTGTTTCGACCTGATTGCGACCCGTCAGTTGGATGTACTTGCATTTCAGAGTTGATGCTCACTCTGAGACTCGAACCCAATACCGTTCGCTTCAAACGTTATTGCGTTATTCACTTAACTATTGAGTCCTGTTATTCACTTGTTTGTCCAATCGGGTGAAGATGAAATTCATTTGGTATTGTTTATTTGAATCTTCCCATTGATGTTTAGCACTGTAATCGATCAGTCTATCTCTTATTGGTATATATGCATACTATGCATATTGCCTCGTTATTGTCTTAGGGAAATCCCGCCTAAAACTATTGATATACTTCACAAATAATGGCTAACTAAAAGTTAAAAACACAATACGTACTTTTTCTGATCATTTCACATTAGGCTTTACATGTGTAATTAAAATTAGTTATTTATATCATTTGAATAATTCCCCTGGAGAGTCATCGACGAAACTGGCAAGTGAAACGTTGGAGTCGTTTTTAATTTCAAATATGATTTGTTATTCTTTTTTTTTTTTAGAAAAAAGTAACTTCTATACAACACAGAAAGCTTGAAAATAGATCCATGTTATCACTAAATTAAGCAAAAGTATCACACAAAATTGATCTTGATGAGATCAGGATCTTATGAGATCCTATTAAAGTCGTTTTCTGATCATGCTGATTATTTTGATCATGGTCATTTCCAGAAGAAGCACGTATCAAATTACAGAAAATAGCTTTTAAGAGGACGAAACAGATGTCTAGTTAGATGGTGGTTTGAGGTAGCCGACAGGAAACCCTACACCCGGGTTTCGTGCTACTTGACACTCGTCAGCATGGTGTACCTGTAATCTTGTAGAAACTGGTGCTTCCTGACGGATCCGATTCTATGTCACCCAGCTTCACAGTCAGAGATGTTACCACTGAGCTATCCGGACCGCGACCGACCTCCTGTAGGACTGAGATGTGATCACAATTGATTGATCACTGAGTGGGGATCAATGTTAGGGTTTCTTGTCGACTACCTGCAACCGTCATTTAATTTCATAACAGTGCACGCAGTGTCGAGTCACCCAGACTGGTGGCCATATTGCAACATGGTCGATAGCATTCGATATGCACTAATAATAAGGACTAGAGACTCATGACATTGGTCACCTCCCAGTGATCAATCAATTGTGATCAGATTTCTAGTGCTTTATGGTTGTTGATAGTTTGCTAACAGATATAGAGAATCGATTTCCATTAGTATTACTGAAACAATCAAACGTGAAATGATAGAAAAGATTTGATGCTAAGGTATGTGCTTTTATTGATGTTGTACTCTATGCATAAGATGATTTAATTATGAAGCTCAATTCCTCTCAGCTTAGAGAAGTAAACACCACTTAAAGTATTTAATGTTTTCATTACTTACCCCCGGCATTATAAGATTTTCTACATCATTCATAATATCTTCCCAACTTTCTGGTTCATTTGGTGGTTTATTCGGTATTAATTTAGCTAAATAACCTGGATGTACACTTGGAAATACTTTTCTTTCATCAATATTCTCCAAATAATCAGCTACATATTGAATCATTTTTGTTCCATATTGACGAAATTCATTATGATTTAAAAATATATCTAAATAAAGAAATACAAAGAAATTGTTTTTAAGCATCTAACCAAAGGATTCATGATGTACATTTCATTTCGTCTTAGACAAATCACTTTGATGAACCTTCATTTTAGTGATGTAGTTTATATTAGATGGTCCTACAGGGTATGTGGTACCTGTGTGGTTGCACCACAGGATTGAGCTGTATTATTCAGATGTTGGCGTAAAAGCTTATACGGTGTCTGGTTCTCCTGTGAAGTGGGATTAAGCTGTACTGTTTGGTTTGTCACATGAAAGTCTGGATGGTGTTTGGTTCTCCTGAAAACCAATGTAAAATTATCCTGACCCATAAGAGTATATTATATAACTAACTATGAGTTTACATTAGGATCCGAACACAGTACTGTCAGTTTCAAGTCTAAGAGTATTATAAACCTAGTCATTCTAAGCGCCAAATTAGTTAAAAAGTGTAATAATTACACATTTAGCTGATAAACCCAAAAAGAAACGTGAAAGTCGCGCTCTAAATTTCTATTATTGGCTACTATCCAGAATATAATAGACATTTATATTAACTAGAATATCAAAACAACTGTTAATAAACACTTGTATCTTCTGAATGATGGATTTCGTAGTTCTACAGGTTTCCGCCTCATATAGTAGAACTGTCTTCACATTTGTATTGAAAATTCTGACTTTGGTGTTGATTGCCAATTGTTTTGACTTCTAGATGTTCTTCAGTTTTAAATATGCTGCTATTATTTTGCCGATCCGCGCCTTCAAATCTGCATCACGTCTACGCAAAATACTTCGGATCCGTCGGCCGAACACTATTAGCAACAACCTACTATGGGAGAGAACAAACCAGATTTCAGTGGAGAAAGAAATCAGGAAGAAGCACTGGAATGGGATAGGACAAACATTGAGGAAAGCACCCAATGGTGTCACAAGACAAGCCCTCATATGGAATCCTCAACGTCAAAGGAGAAGAGAAAGACCAAAGAACACATTTCTCCGGGAAATGGAGATAGACATGAGAAGAATGAACAAGAACTAGATGAAACTAGAAAAAAAGGGTGAAGATAGAGTGGGTTTTAGAACTCCGGTAGGCAGTCTATGCTCCATTAGGAGTAACAGGCGTAAGTAAGTAAGAACATAGAGAAATATATTCAAGGTGTTCATACATAACAGCTAATGATGAGATTGACAATGGGAAAATATAAACCCTTACGAATAATTAGAGATTATCAATTGTTTATCAGACTGTATCCGTTTCTTTATGGTGTCAAGTTAATTCTATTAATCATGAAATTATATTTGAATCATAAGTACATGTACTCAATTACAAACTGTATATTTACTATTCTAGATCGAAACAATACAAGAAAGTGATGTCAATGAGACCATAATCTATAGATTTAAAGAGTCAAAGACTTAAAGTCTTGAACTTTACGATGAAATTCATCCATTCATATAGTTAAATAGCATCTAGACATTATAACTGATGTCACTTAGTAATGATAACCTTAGCTATAATACCCAGTCGTAATTTCTAACTCTTAATCTTATTATCAGAAAGGGTTTTGTGGAGATTGTAGTAATTTGAATGATTAAGATCATTAGTCAGTTGAAGCTAGACCACAACCGTGGAAAACCTGGAAGCACTGGACGGCCGTTTCGTCCTATTATGGGACTCCTCAGCAGTGCGCATCCAATGAAATTACTACAATCTCCACAAAACCCCTTCTGATAATAATCAACATATGCTCACTAGTGACTGGCTTCAAGAGGTATATCCTGGAGTTCTAGTGAGAAGTGGTGACCAGTGGAGTTCAAACCAGGTCTGTTGTGGGATAGAAACTCACTGAAGACAATGGTCGATGTGTCGCTCAATTTCGTGGATTAGTTGAAGTTAGACATGAACACCGTTGGATGCCGGCTCAGTGGTCTAGTGGTTAAGTGCTCGCGCGCGAAGCCAGTAGGTCCTGGGTTCGAATCTCGCAGGGGGCGAGGTCGTGGATGCGCACTACTGAGGATTCCCACACTAGGACGAAACGGCCATCCACTGCCTCTAGGTTTTCCATGGTCTCAGTCTAGCTTCAACTGACTCATGATCTTAATCTTATGCTCATTTACTCATACTAATTTATAACTTTTTTTTTTGTGACCATACTAAGTGGATGACTTCATTCAAGGTGCTCCTATGATTGATTTTCCGGTACTATTCACCATTGAATTATGTTGTATTTAAACAGGTTCAATAATCTAAGCTACATCTAATGGTTATGGAATGAAAGAAAAATGTAAAGTATTCTACCAGGTAAACCAATTAGTTTGTAGTAAAATAGTTTATAAACCTTCACAGACTATAACACTTATCATTGAAAGCAATGCTACTAAGATCAGCATTATTTTTATCTGTACAGCATAAATGATTTGTGAATAATAAAGTGACCATTTTAACTAACGCCAATCAAACTTTTTTAACCATGAATCCATTAGTTATTCTGGTTTAAATTAGATTGAGTTTACTTGAGAGATTTCAATTATCCTATACAAAGACTTATGAATTTCAATTGATATAAAACATCATAATTAAAAGGAAGTAAAGCTCAGTGGTCCAGTAGGTTAAGTGTACACGCGTAAAACTGAAGGCCCTGGGTTCGAATCCCTCGAGCAGGATCGTGGATGCGTACTACTGAGACGTTCCATACTAGGGCGAAACGGCTGTTCAGTGCTTTCAGGTTTTCAATAGTGGTCTAACATCAGTCGACTCATGATCTCAATTAAAAGTAAGTAATTCTGATGTTCCATTATAGTGAATTTCTACATAAAGAAATTAACAACTCTGGGTTATAGATATATCCAACAGATGAGTTTTGAAATAGAATGAGAAAAGTATCCTGGATTCTTCTACTAGGCATATTTTTATCTATTCTATATCAACTTGTATCATAATGATTATATTTGTAATATTCTGAATACAAAGTTTAAAAGATCTGCTTAATAATATCATTCTACTTTATTACTTCCGTTTACGATTGATTATTTGACAGGATATTCAAAGAAAGTTCAAAAACAAAAACAAACAAACCAAGATCCAAATTAATTCACTTGATATTGTTGTTTTATTTGAATCTTCCCAAATGATGTTTAGGACTGAAATTGTTCAATCTCTTAATAGCATATATGTGCATACTGTGCGTATTGCCTCGATATTGCCTTAATTTACAAGCATTCTAAGCAAAGATGAATAGTGGCTAGCAGTGGAAACCATGACAAAGCACGTTTCATCCTATTTGGGACTCGTCCTCCTCAGCTGGATGTACCTGTATCTCAGAGTTGATATTCACTCCGGGATTCGAACCCAATACCGTTCGCTTCAAACGCTATCGCGTTATCCAAAATTGTTTCATTTGTTATACTGATGAGTGAATTATTGGAATTCTCTACTGGAACATATCATATCATCACTTTTTTTTGATAGAATTCAAAATAAGTTTAACCCTTGACAGTATTATAAATTAGCAAAGATTCATATTAAATCGATAGACCTTTTATGCTTATTCTTATTATTAAAAACTAAACGCTGAAATCATATTCAGTTGGTGATATTATTCTATGGTTTATTTTGTTTATTATACTCAATTGACAAGTTTAACTTTGGATACTTTACAAGTAAAATTAAAATGGAAATATACTTCAACAATATATATAAACATTTCATCATCTATACTACTTACCCATACTCAATATATAAGTAGTGTATAATAAGTTCCCAGTAAAGATTATCAGAAATGAATTAGTTGAGTATTTATACTTTGATTTTTCTTTTTTATTCTATGTTCCGTTAAACCTTTTTCATATCTAAACTTCTTTATATACTTTTTCTTTTCTTTTCTTTTCTTTTTTCTTTCTTTATCTATATTATTTCTTTACTAACATTTACACAAACTGTTACTTATCAAAAAAAGGGGGGGAACTTAACAAAAACAAACAAAAATCATAGTAATATTACAAGTACTGGTTGTACTACTAGTCATAGGGGTGAGATATTACAATACTAATAACAATAATAATCATAATACTACTTACAATGGGTATGTATGAATTAAATAATCCGACATTACATAATCATATTTCTATTTTAACAACTACTCAACTAGTAATTTATGACATAATATACTGAGTAACTAATGATACAATGATAATCATTATCAATTCACCCCTCCCCTCCCCTCTCCCTCCCCCCTGAACTCTCACCATCCTTCTTCTATTTCCTTTAATTCTTTACTAAAAAAAAACTGTCAATAAGGAAAATAGTTACCTACATGGTGATTTTCATTGGAATGTATGACAATTTACCTCCTATGAAATTCTTTATATCTTATTATTTAAATTAGCATAATTCAATAGTGTTATCATAATATAATATCATGTTCTATGTATAGATGGAATGAATAACGAATATATTAAAGATTTAAAATAAATATTTTTAATTTAGTTACCATGGTAACTGAATAATCGAGTTCATGAGAGAAAAAAAATCAATCAATTATGTTAACAACATAATCAATAAATGAAATTTGAAAAATTCTAATATGATCAATTCATACAGTTCACTATGAAATGATAAGAAAGTTATGAGTGTTATTAGAGGTAATAACAGCGGCTATCACTTCTCTAGTGCCTACTACATAATGAAAGGTGTATAGAGTATATTATAGAAACATTCAGAAATCATTCTTTAATGAATGATTATTATTTAAAGATTATTATGTGAAATAATTAAAAGTAATGAATAATTACTTCTATCGCATACGCAACAACAAATGCAGGAAAAGACAACCAGTGTAGCTGCAGCCTCAGCAGCAATAGGTCTCAATATACACAAAGGGAAAAGCAAGATTCTTCGATACAACAGAGCATGCACCAATCCAATCACAATTGACGGACAAGATTTGGAAGATGTAAAAACCTTTACATATTTGGGCAGTATCATCGACGAACACGGTAGATCTGATGCAGATGTGAAAGCGTGGATCGGCAAAGCAAGAGAAGCATATTTACAACTGAAGAATATCTAGAAGTCAAAACAACTGTCTATCAACCAACGTCAAAGTCAGAATTTTCAATACAAATGTTAAGACAGTTCTACTGTATGGAGCGGAAACCTGAAAAACTACGAAATCCATCGTCCAAAAGATACAGGTGTTTATTAACAATTGTCTACGCAAAATAATTCAGATCCGTTGGCCGGACACTATAGACAACAACCTACTGTGGGAGAGAACAAATCAGATCCCAGTGGAGGAAGAAATCAGGAAGAAGCGCTGGAAGTGGATAGGACACACATTGAGGAAAGCACCGAACTGCGTCACAAGACAAGCCCTCATATGGAACCCTCAAGGTCGAAGGAAGAGAGGAAGACCAAAGAACACATTACGCCGGGAAGTGGAGATAGATATGAGAAAAATGAACAAGAATTGGATGGAACTAGAAAAGAAGGCCCAGGACAGAGTGGGTTGGAGAATGCTGGTCGGCGGTCTATGCTCCATTGGGAGTAACAGGCGTAAGTAAGTAAGTAAGTAATGAATAATTAAAGTTTATCATGGAATGCTATAGATCATCAATTGGTTACAGACAGTATAATCAAAATTGTAAAATGAACACATAATACACATTGATTCAATAATTGAAAGAATCATTATTTGTATGTAAAGTGATTTAGTTGTATGGAGTTATAGAATTTTAATAAGTAGATCATAATTTCAATAGTTGAAATCATCAGTCAATTGAAGCTAGATCACTACCATGGAAAATGTGGAAGCACTGGATGGCCGTTATGTTCTAGTATAGGACTGCTCAGAAGTGCTCATCCTCGATCCCACTCCCCGCGACACTCGAACCAAGGACATATCACTCTAGCGCCAGGCGCTTAACCAACTAGACCACTGAGCCAACCGGTAGGCATCCAACGGTGTTAATATCAAACTTCAACCAATCTACGAAGTTCAGCCACCGTACACCATTGTCTTCAATGAGTTGATATCTCACAACAGACCTGGTTGAACTTCACTGGTAACGGCTTCTCACTAGAACTCCATGAAATTCTTCTTGAAGTCAGACACTAGTGAGCAGATTATTATTATTAGAAGCGATGAATATGAACTGCTGAAGAGTCCCATACTAGGACGAAATGACTATCTAGTGCTTTCAGATTTTCCATGGTGGTCTAGCTTCAACTAACTGATGACCTGAACCATTGATATATTTTTCTGTTCACCAGTTTATTATATTATTTTCATACCTATTCATTTGGACAACCTGAGTAAGTAATTCAGCCTTTAGCTTTATCACTATTTTTATATAATGATTGTCATTTCAGTTTATTAAAAATTATTTCACTGTCGATATTTTTTCATATGAAAAACTACCCGTCGTTCCTATTCATATGTTAATTAAGGTGAGTAACCGTAGTAAAGTATTCTACAGTACGTCGTTGAACCTTAATTTGCCAGGTATAACTATTTCTCAGGTACTGTTTTCATATGAATACGAGTTTTTGACCTCTTTCAAATCAATCTCACTGCATCATGAAATGGTTGGATTATCCCTAGGAAACAGAGATAGCAGAACCAAATATGAAGAGATATTATGTAATATTCCAAGTCGTTAGTACACATGTTTTCTATTACCTGAACACAATGAATAACATGGTGAAATGTTCTAGTTACCGAATATGTCATATGAATACATCTCAGGAGCAAAAGTATTGTACTATAGATTAAACCTTCATTTGTTCCCGAACCATTCATACCGAATAATGTTCCAGCATTTAATGTCTACAATACAATTTCTATCAGAAAAGCAGTTAAGTAGATAAGTGTGAACAAAAGACTTGTTACTACTACTTGGTTTGATTGTATGCATATTCACGATTTTGACAGAAGCACAGTGACTACATTTCTCATAGCTAGTTTCAGTGAAACACTAAGTAGTAGAGTGAAAGCATTATAAATCCAATGTACCTCGATTATTAGTCATTTATGTACAGTCGCACTGGAAAAATAAACAGATAGAAATGACCTAATGATAGATTTATTTTCCTTTCGTTGTGTTTATCAACAACAAAGTATTTATTCTTAAGCCCAACTTAAAATAACTCCACCTGGAGTCCCTCCGGTGGCTGCTGCCGGTCAAAACCTCGGATAAGGGTGGAGGGTTGAGCATGGGGTTAGCGACCCCATCCCGTAGATAACTAACTCGCTAAAAAACGTTAACCAGCTGAGTTCCAACTTAAAATGAATCTCACCTGCAACTGAATTGTCTAAATCAAATACAATAAGCTGATATTATAATGATGAATGATAAGTTGACTAAGCAGGTCGAGTATCCACACGTAAAGTAGATTCATTTAAATAACAGGCACGGGAATATGATCCTTTTTCTGTAAATTTGTACAAATCACAGTTCTCTTTTAGATAATTATTAACTCTGAAAAAGTGTTCACCTATACGGCAACTGGATTTCACTAGGAACCTTAGTGTAGGTCTCCCCTGGAGTGTTCATTCACGACCTCGTCCGAGACAGAAATCAGTACCTTCGGGTTTCACGGGGATTGTTAACCTCTAGAAGACTGGTCCATTGGACCAATAGTTTATTTGTTTAACTGAAATAATTTCGTGATATTACACAGCCATCTTCCATTGTCACTGATTTCCAACTGTTTCACATTCAACATGGTTGTACTCATTACAGTTTATTACTAGAACCCCGGAAATAATCTGTCAAAATCAGTCGTTAGTAACCACATTATTATTATACATGGGAATTTTTGGAAATCATTTGTTTATTCTGTATTAGCCATCAAAACATAGTTAACTATATGATAATGAGCTTGGACTAGTGATAAGATTGAAATCTGATCCATAAACTTTAATAAGGATCACAACCTAGAAAAATATGATATTGATTAGTATTCGTTGATTCATTCATTTAACCGGTAACTGTATTATTTTCCAGCGAAGAGATCCATTTGAAATTAATTTATTATTAAGCTACTTTTTACTCATAATGAATAAACATGATGATGTAATTACGTAGGTTGTAATCTTAGGTTATGTAATGTAGTTAATATCTATAAAAGATTGTATGCCAATAAAACATCTTGGTAACAATAAAAGTGATCAATATTCTACTTTCTGTTTAGTGGAGTCCAGGTTTAGAAGTTAGCCAATTGCCCGTTCTATGTTTGTATTCTGTAAATGGATTCTTTTAAAGGATCTATCACTTCTCCAATTCAGACCTGAAACATTCTGTTAAGATGGAATTCGATGGAGACCTGATTGCAAATTCATCATTTTGTTAATATATTTCATTGTTGGGACTAAACTCGATACTAAACGTTCAATGTAATAATAATTCATTCAAGTATTTAATCGACAGCCCTACCCTTAAGTTATTTGGATCAATATTATTACATATGTAGCATTATGTTTCAGCTAATGGTACATTGATGAATAGTGAATGAACTCAAAGATCATATAGACAATAATCCAGTAAAAAGTTATTATTTTGTTGCTAACAGTATTGTACCACTTTTCTTCTTTTATTAAACTTCATTACAAACAATATTCAATATAAAGTAATCAGTTCTATGAGATATTCTAATGATAAAATAGCAAATAATATTATAAACAAAGATAGATGATGGCTAGCATTGAAATCTAGTTTGACGAGTGTTTCATCCTATTTGGAACTTGTCGTCAGCTGGATGCATCTACATCTTAGAGTTGATATTCACTCTGGAACTGTTAGCCACTATCCAACTTTCTTTATAAAAAGCTTATAAATTAAGGCAATATCAAGACAATCTACACAATATACACATATAGCAATATGAGAGACTGATCAATTATAGTCTTTTAAACTTCAATGAGATGATACAAGCAACAACAACAACAACAACAACAAAAACACAATATGATCAAATAAAGTAAATCATATTGTTCACAGGGAGAAAAAAAAGAAAGAAAAAGAAAGAAAAAGCAAAAAAAACAAGAAGAAAAAGATCAACTTACTATTACAATCAGTTATTTCAGTAGTACCATTAGATTTTAATATTTTATTTAAACATTTCCCATTCAGTAAATCCATTCCTTTAATATTATATTCATATACAAAATATTTTCAACAATCCTATGAGCTTTTATAGTGTTATTTACATGACTAAGATAGATTAAAAAGGAGAGTGAGAGAGGGTGAGTGAGTGTGTGTGTGTGTGTGAGAGAGAGAGCGAGGGTGAGTGAGTGAGAGTGAGTGAGTGAGAGAGGGTGAGTAAGTAAGAAAGAGATGACTAGTCTACAAAATTGTCATATATCAAAATACATAGATACAAATGTTGTATACACATTTGATTGTTGTTTATCTTTTCTGTTTTTTTTTCTTTTTAAATCTTTACCATCATCCGTTTAATCTTTTATAGTCATATTAACCAACTTATAAATATGTATGATTATTTATATCAATATATATGAGATAATATGTTGTAAAATTATCATTGATCATTTAATGGTGTTCTATTCTTAACAAACTAAGAGAGGGGAGGGGGTGGGGTTGAAAATGAGTCATAGTTTCTAGGATGGTTTTTCTTTTCTTTTCTTTTCTTTTCTTTTCTTTTTTATACATATATGTGAGAAAGACAAATTTACTTTGGTGGTATTTCTTTGGTAGAAATAAGATACAGAATGAAAATTACGTTTTCCTTGAATAACAACAAAGTGATCTATTGTTTCTTATTTTATTCAATAGAATAGTGAAAGATTAAGATTATCATAGATGTTACAATATTGATGAAAAGCATAATGTAGAGTTGTATCAAAAAACAAAAGACAAGGACAGGAGGTGGGGTGGAGTGGGGTGGTGGGGTGGGGGTGGTGAAGGATGAGAAAGACAAGATTTTTCAGAATATATATATATATATATATATATATATATATATAAGATATTTATTTCTAAAAATAGATTGTTTATAAGAATGAATAAGATTTTTAATGAGTTGAATAGTTGTTGAATGAATTCCAACAAATTGTTATATAATTATCAGTTTAGGGGATATGGAGATTGTTAAGTTTTTCATTGAGATCATGCATTAACTGATATTAGATCATCATTGAAAACTTGAAAATACTGGTTAGAACTTCTATGAAATGATATTATGGGATTCAAGTAGGTATTTGTTATTTGCAGATCTTTTTTTAGAGACGATAGATCCCCCCAAAAAACTCATAGTTGCTAAGTTTATCTTGTGGAGTTTGTATGCAGATGTATACGTGGGCATTTCTTACTGCCCACGCACATAGTCAATTGACGAACTTATCGATTAAATGTTTAAATGCTCCATGGCAATATCGATATATATATATATATATATATATATATATATATATATATATATACGCTTGATTTGTGTGTGTGATTGACCTAGTATCTTCTGGTTGCCTGTAGAATACACTTTCTACGTCTTACCGAGACTTCTTGATCGAGTTAGCTGAGTCGGGGACAACGGATCAGAATAGCCTATCGAGATTCTGAATCCTTGGATCCGATCGATAAGTCACTGTCCTCTAATCGGCGGCCTTTGAGATATAACATGTTTCTACATGTGTAATTTTCTCTTCAATAGCCTAAATTAAGTCTCGGCCTAACTACTATAAAACTATTGGTTCAGATTTAGTCTAAAGAAAAATCCATAGAATGGATTGACATAGTAGTGACTACATATAGCAAAAATACTTCAAAAGAAATCGAAAGAATTCTTAATCATTATAGTATGAGTAATTTATCAAACGAATAATACTCATAACACAAAATTAATAAGAGTAAAAAAATATGATACCAAAAAAAAGGACAAGAAGATCGTATCTAAGAGATCAACTATGATGACTGTAATGTCGTATATGTGACTAAAATACGAGCCGAGGAAGAAATCAAGAAAAAGCACTGGAAGTTTATACGACACACATTGAAGAAAGCGATCAACTGCGTCACAAGACAAACTCTCACATGGAATTCTCAAGGCCAAAGGAAAAGAAGAAGACCATACAACACATAAAACCGAGAAATGGAAACAGACATAAGAAGAATGAACAACAATTGAATAGAACTAGAAATGAACGCCCAAGACAAAGTGGGTTGAAGAATGCTGGTCTAAGAGCCTATGTTCCATTGGGAGTAACAGGCGTAAACAAATGAATCCATGTTGTTCTGCTACGATATTTGTTCTTTGTTTATTCAAGTTTACACCTGAAAAAAGTAAGAAATGCAAAATTTACTTGATTCACATTCTTGAATCCTCAGAAGACTAGAAAACTAGAAAACAAGTAGTCGATAGCGCTGTATTCAGTAAACTTTAGACACATAATTGACTCTATTGAGACAAGAATCTTTCAAGAAAGGTTTTTGTCGTACAAAAAGAGATCGATAGCTGAAGTCCTATACATATGAGGTAATTAAAGAAACATAAACATGAGAGATGGTATATAATTAACCACACCCCCCTCATGGGAACTGGTAATTAAAATGCAAAAATCTGACATTCATTAGCCTTTTCGTTCAAATTCACTTAGTATGTTTGTAGCCTTGCTATCTGCGCTATCCAATAGTAAACTGTAGTAGGTGCTTCGTGTTGCCTTCTGAATTTATTTATATCTGTCAAACTACATTGACCGAATAGAAATAAGGGTATATCTTAAACTTTCTAAGTCTGTTTCAAAAGGCTTTCCAACAAAAGAAAGAACTGTTTTAAATAGCTCATTTACTAAACATATCCTGGATACAGGACATCGAGTCGACACCTGAAGATCGGTTATCCCGAACATCATTTCAACGTAGCAGTTACAGTGAGTAATTGTTTTTTTTAACGAACAGGGATACTGAAGAGGGATAAATCTTAAATTTGAACACTCGAATCGCTTTTTTAAGCTCCTCTGGTAACCACAGACGTATTTTGCACGACAACTTAAACACGAGAGAAAAGCCGCGAAATATGGCAAGAACGCTTTACTACAACGTTAGTTCATGTACATAAAATTTAGGGTATTTATAGCATTTCAGATGGCCTTGGGTTTCCAGAAGTGTCTAGAACCATACTAAACATATTAGCAGGATGGGTAATCATCCAATTGAAAATGCAACACGTGACTTTTCACTTTCTGGATGTTTCTGAGATGTTTTTTATTCAATACTGACAGATAAGATGTTTTTCAGTGTATCCAGAGCCCCTATAGGCTTTTTTCGAGGGATTTTCTAGGTGTCTCCAACAATTACATCATTACATATTTTGATTTCGACTATCTTCTAGATTAGTAATCTTATTTTAATTAACCAAACTTTTCACATTCTATGGTTACTTATTATTGGAATTGATCCATAACTTAGCCATTTATTTCTAGTCCTTCAAAGTATTGTTACTATCGGTGTTATAGAATTTTCTTACAGATGAGATATATAATATTCACAATAGTTTATTTGGTCTATTAATTTGATTTAAATCCTTATTATACTACACTTAGGTTTGATTATATCGATTCCGAACTAAACTCCATCAATCGGCAATCAGCAAGCACATTGAAATCGATTCAATCTATCAGCCAATCAGTAAAATGATGGACAAACATATAGGATCCAGAATCAAATCATTGGGAGATACAATCAAAATAAAGAAGTAGACAATGACAGGTTAAAGGTCAACAATTAAAAGTCAGGATTGATGTCGATAGGACAAGGTGTGTGTTATATGTGGAGAAATTTGAACACTTCACTCCTATCTGAAGTTTGTGCTGATGATGTCATTCAGAAGAATGATGAAAGTTCTACGATTGAATCATCCAACTCGAAGAACAAATTTCTACTTAAATCATCCACCTGAGCTACAAATTTCCACCAGAAAACAACAAAAAAAGGATGTGAACTGGAGTGGTAGTAGTAGTAGTAGTAGTAGTAGTAGTAGTAGTAGTATTCGTAGGTGTAGTAGTAGTAGTAGTAGTAGTATCGGTAGTAGCCGTAATAGTAGTAGTAGTGTTGGTAGTAGTAGTAATAGTAGTAGTAGCCGTAATAGTAGTAGTAGTTTTGGTAGTAGTAGTAATACTAGTAGTAGTAGTATTGTTAGTAGTAGTAGTAGTGTTGGTAGTAGTAGTAATAGTAGTAGTGTTGGTAGTAGTAGTAGTAGTAGTAGTATTGTTAGTAGTAGTAGTAGTAGTAGTAGTAGTAGTAGTAGTAGTAGTAGTAGTAGTAGTAGTAGTAGTAGTAGTCGACTCAATAAGTAATAGTTAGCTCAATAATATGATATAAGAGATAAACACTAAGATACATAAATGTATCAAGTATAAACAGATTTACATGTGAATATTTGACATGAATAGATTATCATTGATAAGATAAATAAATAAATAAAAGGATTATGATAATTTCACTGTTTAAAGGTTAGAATAATTTGTGTAGGTGTCTAATAACAATCAAACTAGTAAAACTCTATTAGACAACAACAACAACAACAACAACATAGTTGACATTTTAATCAACTTTAATTCCAGATTAACAATTTGAATATGATAGAAATGAAGTGATTCATTATGATGATGATGATGCTTTGGATGATGATGATGATGATGCCTTGGGTGATGATGATGATGATGATGATGATGATTTGGATGATGATGATGATGATGATGATGATGATGATGATGATGATTTGGATGATGATGATGATGATGATGATGATGATGATTTGGATGATGATGATGATGATTTGGATGATGATGATTTGGATGATGATGATGATGATGATGATGATGATGATGATTTGGATGATGATGATGATGATTTGGATGATGATGATGATGATGATGATGATGATGATGATTTGGATGATGATGATGATTTGGATGATGATGATGATGATGATGATTTGGATGATGATGATGATGATGATTTGGATGATGATGATTATCAAATGATAACATTTAAGCGAGATAATACAAGCTTTAATCTCGTTCATTCATTGTTAACTATACAAGTCCCATAAGAGAACAAAACGTGTGTTAAACTGAATTCCATTGCTAGCCACTATCTATCTATCTATCTATCTATCTATCTAT